ATTTTAATTAAAGGAAAATGGTGGAAAAAAAATAGATTTTTCTAACATGTGCCCTAAGAATTTTTTTTATTATAAATGTATATAAAAAAATATAAGAGGTGATATCAATTTTAGTATTAGGTAAATTTAATTAAACAGTTGATAAATTAAATAGTAATTTTTATTTTTTTAATATAAATTTATGATAAAAAAATGTATTTAATACATCTTTAATATATGCCTTTAAAGTATAGATTAAACAAATATAAAAAAATAAAGAGAAATAATGAGGTGATAACTTTGCTCCTAATATGCGACCAAAAAAGAAAGAAAATAAAAGAGAAACAATGCGTGGGAAATTTGCTCCTGCCATGTGGCTGCTTCAATGGCAGCATGTGGCTACTTACATGGAGCACGTGAGACCATATGTGAAATTTCATTAAGAAAACTAACGGAGTTTTGTGACGGTAGATGAAAATGAAACGGTTTTGAAAGTTAATAGATGAGTTTAAAATAAAATAAAGTATTTAAAGTAAAATGAAAAAAGAGTAATGGTTAATAAATGATTTATTAAATTAAGCCTATTTATGGAGATGGAGGATGACAATGAGCGCATTGTCACGGGGTCAGACTAGCTCCGATGGCCCTTGCCTCGGAGGCGGAATTTAGCTCGATCTCGTACGGCACTTAGCTCGGAATTAACCCCGTTAAACTTGAACCAAGTCAGCCTTCCCCAACACTGGCGTGGCCCCTTAACTGGGCTTGAGGTTAGCAACAGAAACAAGAAGGTAGGAAGTTGGGAGAAGAAGAAAATTTATTAAATCGCAAGGGAGTGTACAAGAGCATGAGTACAAAGCCCCTCTCTGCACTCACTCTCACCTAGCAGCTCACTCCCTCTCCAACTCCTCAGCTCTAACTCTAACTGATCTCCTCTACTATGGCCACCCCTATTTATAGAAGAGATCAGCCCAAGAGCCCTTTGCAAGTGAAGTCTCTAGAACACCCCACATAAATCCCCTCATTTGTACAATTACAAGAATACCCTCCATTCTCCCTCCTAAGCCTACATTATTCTAGAATCCTCTATTCTAGAATTATTTACAAGGCCCAGGAGAAACCCCAGGTTGGGCTTGCCCCATTAAGCCCATTCCAGACCCCTTGTCTGGCACTGTACACGAGCTTATCCGGAGCACTGTTCACGTCCTCATCCAGATCACTGTTCTGGGCCTTATCCAGACCTCCCAGCTGCTTCTGGACTTCTCTGGGCTGCTCCAGCGCTCTAGCATGGCTCGACCGTGACCCCATGCCACAGCCTTGGCATGGCACACTACGTGGACGCCCGTGGCCGCTCC